GGGGGGGGGGGGGGGGGGGGGGGGGGAAATAAAACCTTTGGTTGCCAGAAAGCTGTGAAGGCACATTAAAATCTCCTAAACTTTCCCCGGTGGGGCACATCAGGCCGGCGTTTGTCACTTTAATACCGCAGAACTTTGCAGATGCTACAACTTCTGGAAGTCGGAGGGAAATGGTGGTGGTGGGGGGGGGGTATTGTAATAAATTCAATAAATTGACAGGTGATGTCTACCGGAGGCCGTGTCTGGCATGATGAGTCAGCAGAGTGGGTTCAGAAAAGCAGCGGGGGATTTTTGTTGCTGTTCCCAAACGCTAATCCTGCCGCTGAATAGAGGCACTAAAACCCTCCGCAAACTCCGATGATAATGTCCAAACTTGTTAAGATTGTGAGCTCCTAAGTCAACAGTCCCCATTAGAGGCTTTTCCATACCGGAATTTCTTTATGTCTTTATGTGAGGCCGTGCCGGCTGACGTCAGTTGTGGCTTAAAGTGTCCCGTACCAGCACTCGGAACTCGCCTTTCACGAGCGTCTCGCCCAGTTTTTTTGTGTTCTTTGTGGCACGGCCCTCCTCAGGTAAAACCCCTCATTCTCTAACGGGAGGCGCCGGCGTTCGGCCCGCCCGGGCACGACGTTCCTGATCCCGGTTATCCAGAACCCACACACTGTGCACGTCTCCTCACTCGCTGCTTTTGTGATACTCAGCCTCACACACACACACACACACAGACACACGTATACACACTTTTCCTTCTCTCTGATTCCTCTTCCTTTTCCTATTTGTGCTCGGGCCCGACTTGGCCACAGCTGGAGAAATCATCTCCCTGCAGGAGCGGCTCCCTGCCGGCCCCGCTGCAGCCCTGATGGCGGCCGGCGGCGCGTGCTGCCCCCTCAGCATCCTGACACCCCCCCCACACACACACACACACACACACACACACTTTGCACCCAGTCCACTCCAGGCCTTTACAGTAAACATGAAGCGTGTGTGACACTGTACTCTGACTTGACGCTAACCCCACGTATGGCAAGACAAACCGCTTCCCTTCAATCTATGGGGGGGGGGACACGTTACAGGCATTTAGAACTGCCTCGTTCAGATAAATCGAGCGGGGAATAAGACGCCCGAACATCAAAGAAAACAAACATCTAACCCCGTACTGCGTTTTTTCTTCCACCCAGGCTTTGGCTGTGTGGTTTTTCTGAAAATCCTCTGTGCCTCCGGGAGGAAGAGGCCTGATTTATATGCACTGCATCCACGCAAACTTGACCCTTCGGTGACCCATCAACCCTCCAGTGACGGCTAATTCAGAAGCAGTGACATCATCCTGCAGACCGCCCAGCCCTCCATTTCCCCTCCGAGCTCCAGAGAGCTGGACATTAACCCCCCCCCTTCCCTCTCGCTCAGCCGTCCTCCGTCCTAAAAGTAGTCCCTGACCAGAAGCATCAGCTGCTGCCCGCGTGCTGAGACAGTGAAAGGGGGGGTGTAGGTTGGGGGGGGTGGTACTAATCTGTGGCTCTTCACATGACCCGTAGATGGGCGGGCGGACTCCCCATCGCCCGCGTGGACCATAGATCTTCCTCG